TATATATATATATATATATATATATATATGTAAGTTCTTATCTATCGATCTACTTACCTATTTACCTATACTATCTATCTCAGTTTGGGGCTCTCGATTAAGTTTATTGATATCTTTACAGAAAAAAGAAAAAGAAATAAGAAAAAGGAAAGAGTGGGGAGAACAAAGTAGAAAAGGATCAGGAAATTTTAAGGCCCAATTATCGCACATTTATACTTATGTAGAGATTTTTAAAAATCAGATATTTAGCTGCTAATCTGAGAAGACAGCTAGTGGGCAAGGTTGAGATATAAGGCAGGTGAAACTTAGAAAGAAGAGCGAAATATAGATTGTGAGATAATGCTTCATGATCCTGGAAGACAGGTGTAGGTTGAGTGTCATTGGAGTTGGAGAAGGGGCAGTCATCCTGGGCACAAGGGTACATTTAATATCTGAAAAAAGGGATTACTTTGTGGTAGATAAGGAAAAGGGGAGATTAATGTCCAGAGACTAGTTTTTCCTTTTACCTTTTAGTGCCACTGTTTCCTCATCTGTAAAATGGGCATCGTAGTATACCTCCTAGCGTTCTTTTGAATTAAACCTATATGGAAGAAAAACATTTCCTTAATTGCCCCCTAAATTTGCAAATCCTCTTGTCTCTCCAAATGGAGACATTGTTCTATACCTCAGAGACCAATCACACAGTAGCATATGCAAATGCCTCCCCCCCCCCAAAAGGTTATGCAGTGGATAGCATGTGTCCATACTGAAGGCATTTTTCTTCTCTCACTGCTTTCCTTCTCCCTTTTCAAATCATGCCTGCTTAGACCTTCCAAGAGTCAGAACCAAGCCACTGCCTGATCAATACTCTCCTACTGTGACTGTTCTCTTGGTAATACAAATCCTGGTTGAAGCCTTTAAATTGCCCCCTGCAGGGCTTGATTGTTCTTTGATGACAGACTAGTCTTCTACTCACCCTTGGAAAAGGGAGTGAGAGAAAACGGAAATGAATAAATAGCTGAAATGAATGATCTGAAAAGAAGGCACTGAAGCTCCTTTCTAGAACATGCACATGGTCACATGCAAATGTACTACTTTTATCAGAGCTGATATTCTCATTCAGGAGCATACTTAGTTGCTACTTAGAAATACTCAGAATTTACCAACTTTGAAGAGTTTTTCTCACAGACTTTATAACTTTCTGTTACACAATATGTGCAATAGCAAGA